AAGGACGAGGGGATGTCAGACTGGGGTAATTTTTTGATAGTCCCCTTCTTGATTAAGCAAGAAAAGCGAGAGTTGGAGTAATGTGAACTTTGAAAAGGACAATCCTTTTGTAATCCAATTTTCTAAAAGGAAGTTATGTTCAAACCCATTACATTTAAGTTCTTTATGTCTCCCACACCAGAGAGAGACTACGTGTTTCCCAGCAGCCGCAGCAGATATACCGCGTGTGGGGAAGCTGTGATTGGTCCAGCGCCGCGTTCAATAACGCACACACGCACGCACACACACACAGGGACCGTGAATAGATGCAACCCACATGGTCAAAATATCACTTTGAAATGAAAAGTGCTGACACTCAGCTGAACGTGTCGGGGGTTGTTATCAGTCGTCCTCCTCGTCCCACAGGTCTTGTTCTGCCGCTGTACACTCATCGATCTGTGTTGTCAGCAAGAAAAACACCAGGTTCAGTATCGCCACCCAGAGGCCCGCAGTCGGTACTTCGTGACGATGCGGCAGGCTTGTCTCAGTGATTCAAAGGAATCAATTTTCCCTTTGTTTTCGGGGGGGGGGGGGGGGGGGGGGGCAAAGACAAGTTAGACTTAATGATATTAGGAACAGGACAGAAAGGAGCGAGTCTGCGATCAGCTCGGCATTGATCACTAAAGCCAACGGAGCCTGATGCTCCGCTGCTATTGATGGAGGAGACTTGACTGGGTGGTTGTTGGTGCAACAGATGGAGGCAGGGTGGAGAAGAGATGGAGGGGAGAGATCCTTCTGGAGGAAAGGAAACCCTTTCCTCCCCAGGGGAGAACCAGGATCTTGTCCGGCAGGGACAAACTGCCCCTCACAGCCGGATCCCCTCCCCCACAGAGCGTGTTACGGGACGTGACTACTTCCCGGACGTGGTAGTCTCTGCTCAGGGCGTTCTGTGTCATCAATAATCTGCAGATTATTTTCAGTTTGCAGACACAAAACATTCTCATTAAACCTCCAAATCACGCCAATGGACCAACTATTTCCATCCCAAGGGAGGGGGCCCTTCCCAGAAAAAAACAAAGTTGTTTACTTTGTTTTTTCAGCCGTGCTGACGGGATAAGCCTGCGCTGCTTAGCGACCAGGTCAGAGCTGATTGGTCGAGGGGAATCCGTGACAACGCGAACAAAATGTGTAATGAGTTCAACAAGAAAGGAACGAGGTGAATTCTCTCAGCACGAATAATAGTGAACTCCTGTTCTCACAGTGTGTGTGTGTCCGTGTGTGTGTGTGTGTGTGTGTGTGTGTGTGTGCGTGACTGTTGTCATGTTGCAGCTGAGTCCTTTGAATAATGTTCTCTCACAAATTTCGAAATAGTTTTTCCCTCCAGCATGACTCGAGATATCCAATTATGTGTGTGTGTGTGTGTGTGTGTGTGTGTGTGTGTTAAAGTTGCCGTGGTAATCATGTATCACCTTGCAGCAACGTTGGGGTCCGTGCTCTTATGAAACAGAGGGTCATGTAAAGGTAAAGAAGGTTATTCACGTCTGACCTGGAATTACTTTTTTTTCTCTTTTTAGTTTAGTTTGTATTTAATCAGTTTACTATATTCTTTAAATCACAGAACATCCTTTCTGCTCCAAATATCTCTTCACTGAGTCAGAGCACTTTTCTGTCACATTGCTGACCATCTCGTCAGTAAAGAGACACAGTTACAACCAAAAGAACCTTTGTTTTGAGGCATATTGGAGGAGGCCAAACTCACAGCCTTATGAAGGAGAATTAGGACACTGGTGACAAGAGGATGATGTGAGGCTCTGCACAAGAACATGCTACACGAGAACATGCTACATGAGAACACGCGTCATGAGAACACACTACACGAGAACACACTACCGTGAGAACACGCTGTCATGAGAACATGCTACATAAGAACACGCTACCATTAGAACCCGCAGTCATGAGAACATGCTACCATGAGAACACGCTACATGAGAACATGCTACCATGAGAACATGCTACATGGAAACATGCTACCATGAGAACATGCAGTCATGAGAACATGCTACCATGAGAACATGCTACATGAGAACACACTATATGAGAACATGCTGTCATGAGAACATGCTACATGAGAACACGCTACATGAGAACATGCTACCAGGAGAACATGCTACATGGGAACATGCTACCATGAGAACACACAGTCATGAGAACATGCTACCATGAGAACATGCTACATGAGAACACACTATATGAGAACATGCTGTCATGAGAACATGCTACATGAGAACACGCTACATGAGAACATGCTGTCATGAGAACATGCTACATGAGAACACGCTACATGAGAACATGCTACCATGAGAACATGATGTCATTGGCAGAGATGGGCAGTATTTATATTAGTTGTATTTGAAAGTGCGGATAAAAATGAACATAATTTGTCATTTTGTATTTCTATGTGACGCCTTGTTAGCCTCATGCCGGGTTTCTCCTGATTCTTCTCAGCTGTCCATCAGCCTGTTTCCCTCCTCCAGCCCCACACACATGAAGCCGCCTGCTTCCCCTGTTCTCCTGTCAGCTCGTAGTAGTTCCTCCCCGTCTGTACTCAATGTTTCAAGACGTTGTTTTTTTCCCAGCCAGTCAGATCCCTCCACTGCATTCTGGACCTTTGCCGGTTTTTCTGGATTTGTGATGGCAGCCTGCTGCCTGTCGGACTGGTTCTCCCCCGTGTCCATTAAAACAAAAGTGCTCTTCTGCTCCAGAGGCCTCTCACACTTTAAGTAAGTAAATGCGCTGTAATGTAGAACCACGTGGCCTCCCAAGCCGCAGTACAGTAAAAGAAGCAGCCTATTTACCTGTGTATTGATTTACTATTTACCTTTGATTTGTATTCATTCTTCTGTGCGGAACGTGATGTACAGTAATTTGTTTAAGCTCTTTACCTGCGTACCACTGGTTCTAATTCTATATTTTGCTTTCATAGAATACGTAGGTCTAATGTATGAAGAGGTTTATGGGCTGGTCCCATCAATAAAAACATATATAGTAAATACATAATCATTCAATTTATTTTCTTTTAAGAACTGCTTAGTTACACTGACATTCTGTTCTTCCGGTTTGTGGAGTTCACCAGAGCTTTGTGTACATTATATCTCCCAACCTGAATGTTCTATCCAGACAAACGTATTTCCTATTTTAATACAATTTTTTGTATCAAAGTACTTTTTTCCCATCTCTGGCCATGAGAACATGATGTCACGTGCTGCAGCCTATAGGGACGCGCTGTTACGTAACAGCCTCTGTTTCCACCCCCCCCTCCCACATCCCGCCCCCCTGTGATATTTGGACGTGATCGCGCATGATCTTAACGATGTGACGAGTTGAATCGTGAAACGTGCTGGTTCACTCGCATTATTCGCATTACGACACCGCTGCGATCCCGCCGCGACGGGATGGATGAGCGATGTCACGGCAAACGGACCGGAAGTCCACATGCGCCGCCTTCGAAATAGAAGCGCCCCAAAGAACGGTTCGCTGCGGGAGTTTTACTGTGAAAGGCTCACCCGGAAGTGGGCTCGTTTGCTGCGGGCAGCTTGACACCGGTCCTCCGGTGAATCATCCTCGGTGATGTAAGACGCGTTTCTACACGTCTGCTGCGATAACGGATCATTTACACGTGATCGGAAGTTAATCGGATCGCTTTTACTCATTCGAACTTTCTAAAACTGGCACCTATAGTGAAACAGATGAGGTGTTATTCAACGGGGAAACTCAAAGGTACTCGCTGTCCTAAGTGAGTCGGACGTAAAATAGATATACAATTCTATTTTAAGGTCACTAAATACCAACTGAGCTCGTTGCTTTTCGGAATACCGCAGACTATGATCGATCACACTGGGGGTGGGGGGGGCGGGGTTACAATACAAGTCCTGGTGCACCGGCAACGTCCACACGCACCCATGCACACACCGTGCACGCCGTGCATGTGACTGCAATGGTGCAGGGTGCACGACGAGGGGGAGAAACCCCAGAATAAGATGTCTCTTTAATGATCCCGCTTCCAGTCACACTTGTTGATGTCAGCGCTGCTTTGCCAAACGAATCGAACGCACCAAAACAACCGGGATCATCTTTAGCAGACCAACTATCAATATTCATATTATAACTGATATTTTTAGCCGGAATAAATCTTTGAGCATCCATGTCGGAAAAGAAAAAGAAAAAAGAGAGAGCGACATCCGTGAGGTCACACATCCATTATCGGACAGCTCTTGGACTGACGCACTTCCGTGATCTCCTCAACCTAAACACGGAGTGTTTGCTGTTGCAAAACTCCACCGAACACCCGTGTGACGCCGGGGAATGTCGCTCGTGAGTCTCCGCGCGAGTTTACTCGGATCCAGCGAGCGTGACAGCGGCGCGTCGCCGCGGCGTCAACCTCACTGTCCGATAATGGGCCTCGGGCGGCGCGGCGCGTTACCTTGGGCATCTCCCCCGCTCGTCAGCACCGCGATGGACTTCCCGGCGCCGGACAGGTTCTCGAAGAATTTCCGAGTGTCCTGCCGCTTCGGTGCCGCCGCCATGTTGCCTGTCACTATCTTCTCCCCCCCACCGGACCCCCGCTTTTCCACTTCACTCCACAGAGTGTTCCACGGCCAAACTCTGTCAGTGGGTCGGTTTCCTCTGCGGAGCGCAGCGGGACACTGGCGCTGTGTGCGTGCAGGACGCAGGAGTAGGACCGCAGTGGGTACCGCCCCTCACACGCACACCGCACGTGCACACGCACGCACCTTCCTCACGCATCGTAGAGGCCCGTGAGATGCGTCACTAGTTGTGGCTTCAAAGTACAATCTGGAGGCCCAACTGACTCAGAGTACTAACGATGAATTACGCCAATGTCAATAAGTCGGTCGTAGTGTAACAATAGTGTAATAGTCGCAAAAGCCTTTGTGCTGATCTGAGAACATGTTCCTTACACTTGAAATAGTGGAAACACAGAATGTGTGTATTTTAGTTTTTCAGAAGTCTAATAACATGTTATAGTCTTTTTTTTCTGCTCCCAGTTTTTGGGTTCGAAATAAAATCAGAGTGAGAGCTCTTCTCTTTTTTTTCCTCGCTTTGGTTGGTTCTCACGACCCCAGCTTTTGAGTGACAGCCAGAGAGCTGTCCCTCTGTGAGCGGATGAATGTGCCTCTCTAAAGTGATGATTGTCCCTCTGTGAGCGGATGAATGTCCCTCTCTAAAGTGATGATTGTCCCTCTGTGAGCGGATGAATGTCCCTCTCTAAAGTGATGATTGTCCCTCTGTGAGCGGATGAATGTCCCTCTCTAAAGTGATGATTGTCCCTCTGTGAGCGGATGAATATGTCTCTGTAAGCGGATGAATGTCCCTCTCTAAGAGGATGATTGTCCCTCTGTGAGCTGATGAATGTCCCTCTGTGACGGATGAATATGTCTCTGTGAGTGGATGAATATGTCTCTGTGAGTGGATGAATATGTCTCTGTGAGTGGATGAGTGTCCCTCTGTGAGCTGATGAATGTCCCTGTGAGTGGATGAATATGTCTCTGTAAGCGGATGAATGTCCCTCTGTGAGTGGATGAATATGTCTCTGAGCGGATGAATGTCCCTCTGTGAGTGGATGAATATGTCTCTGTAAGCGGATGAATGTCCCTCTGAGCGGACGAATGTCTCTGTGAGCGGATGAATGTCCACAGCTGTCCAGAGGGGACAAGTCTTCACCGAGACAGCAGCAGGCTGAAGGCAACATCTAGAAATAGTGCTTCAAAAGCGCTACAAAGACTATTTGTATGATATTCTTTTCTTGGACATGAATTCCTGACCTTCTCACTGAGTTCATGACCTTGAGCAATCGCATTGAAGCTTTTATCTCAGCGAATCTCTCTCTCTCTCTCTCTTCACGTCACGTCACACCTGTCGCAACAACTCACATTTCATCAGAGCGCCTTCGGGACAAAGAGGTTTATTTGAGAGAAAGTTTAAAAAAAATGTATTTATTTCTTTTTATAACAAGCTGCTGTGATTAGATTGGAAAAGTCACGCAGAGGACATCACGTTCTGATCACTTCAACACCAATGTGTGTGTGTGTGTGTGTGTGTCTGCGCGTGTGTGTGTGTGCTCCAAAATGCCAACTTGACATTTAAAAAAGGAATTTCTTAAACGCTCCTGATACGAACGTGTCATTAAACACTATTATGTTATATTCTCATCCTGCATGTGAACATGGTGAGACACGGCTTCGATGAAGCACTGCATCATGGGACACTTCGGGCTGTGAAGAAGGAGATTTCACTCAGTGTCCATAGAGTCATGAAGTAAGAATCTCAGCAGATATCCTGACTTTTATTAATATCTAATCCGGGGTCAAGCTCCAATATGCGGAATCCCACATTTCCCACAATGCAACTCAGCGACACCGCTTTACCGCAACTCAGAGGTGCACCAGATATAAAAATAATAATAACCACAGTATATATTTTTAACCAGCCCAACTAATCAAGAATATAACACACGATGATTTGAATAACCGCCTTGTGAAACACTGCGTTCCGTTCTGCCGCTTCATCCCTACAACACGCCGCGTTTGGTGAACTTTCCTGTAGTAACAAGGCGGTGACACTACGTCATGCGTATGACGTAATCAATCGGGAGTGAAAAGAGAAACGTGTATTTCCATTAAGCCGCAGCGGGTGCGTGTTCACGTCAAACTCCCGGAGGTCATTACGCGCGCGCGCGCACGCGATTGTCCTTGTGGGTCGAGCGCTGCTTACATAACTGTTCGTGTAAGTGGTGCACGTAAAAATAAAAAATAAAAGGAGGAAGGAGAAATAAGACAAGAGGCCCCGCTCAATAAAAATAATTTATTTACAGCAGCATGAATCATAAATTAACGCAGCATTGGCAAAAGCATCATTGGAGTCGACGGTTTGCATAAAGTGGTGTAAACGTCTGGACTTTTGCATAAAAACACCCGCGAGACATCGAACACGCGCCGCCGGGGCGGCGAGGTTGAAACGAAAGCGCCGCCACCGGTGACCTTTGACCTTTGACCCCCGCTTTCACCTCCCGGGGAGGAGCCAACTCAAGAGTTCGGATCAGCTGTGCTCTCTTCAGTATTCCTTTAGAACAATAACCTGCTGCACTCTGCTGGGGAACCGCGTCATTCATAATAATCAGAATAATAGTAAAGTCTCCTGTAAAACGAGAGATCCATTCACATTCACTGAATTCTCTCATTTAAAGACACTCTGACGCACTCTGGTGGTGAAACACAAAAGTGAGCTGAAGATTAATTCAAATTTCATTGTAGAAAACAAATCCAGTACTTATGCAGCGGGAATAATTTAAAGATGGCTTTAAATGAAGAGTAAAATGAGACAGTCTTAAAGAGTGAAACGCGAAGAGATTAGAAGTGAAATACAACATTAATCAGCTCTGTGAAGCCCTTCCAGTGTTTAGTTTTTACATCCCTTCTATTTAGTATCAAACAGTCAAACAGTTTAAGACCGTAGAAGTAAAACTTGGGTGCAGCACATCTGTGAGGTCAGCGGAAGGTTTCTGAAGAGCCGTCGCCATCTAACCTCGTTTGAAATATCCAATATTTGACAACTCCACAGCTCCTCCTCGTCATTATTATTATTAAGTATTAACATGATTTAAAGGAAACTGCAGCTCAAAGTTACAACTATTGCTCTTCTAGGGGGATGAAATCTAAAAAGCCAGGTGGGGGGAGCGGATGTGTGGGTGGGGGGGGGGGGTTACAGCGACGGTATGAACACTGAAGGCATTATGCGTTCAGCATAATGGTTCAAAATAGTTCAATGTACTGATTGGATATTGTACATAATAATAATATATATATATATATATATATATATATATATATATATATATATATATATATATATATTACACATTATATATAAAATATCCAATCACTCCGAGTATGATGTACTGTATTGAAAGCTGAAAAGGACAAAAAATAAAAACAACACAAACATCTTATAATAACAACTATAAACGTTCAGGTCAGTGTTTCACTTTGAAGACAGTTTTTTTCACACCGTTACAGTGTGCGTTCAGGGTGTGCCCCCCTCCCCCCCTCCGGACCCCCCACAGGAAACTCCCTGGATCCTCCGTGTTGCAGATTCCCCCAGCAGACTGAACTGCTCCTCAGCAGCTTCACTTCTTAAGAGCACCGGAAGGTTTATTATTTTCACACAGACTGATGTCAGAGGCAGAAATCATCTGATTGGTTAAATCTCAGAAGGGGGAGAAAACAGAATACTTAATAACACGTTTAATGATTTTCCGTTTGATGCAATACGTGTGATTTATTAGTCCGTTTCTTTTACTGGGGTACTTGCACAGCAGTAGTAACAAAATATAGATCAACAAAAAATAGAAAGTAATTAAGCTTTGCTGCACCTTTAAGAGCTGCAACATTAATTTGATAAACACATCAATAATAATAATAATAATAATAATGCTTTTACATGCTACTTTAAGTATATTTTGATATATATATGTTTTGCAAATCTAGAGTGGCTATTGAGACACTTTTTTAGGAAAGCCAAATTAAATGACCGTTCTTAAGCTCCGCCCACTGAGGTTTCATTCAACCAATCAAATATTTCCGCTCCCCATTAGTTGGAATAAACTCCAAACTGCTGTTTTGCAATACCACATAGAGGTCTCTAAGTATGTACACAATCTACACACATCCACCTTCATTCAAAGAGTCATTAAATAGGGAAACAGCTCCCTTGTAACTACAGCAGTTGAAATATATTAATTTTAAAAATTACATCAAAATGTACCATTTCGAGAGATTTTCTTAAACAAAAGATATTCTTGTTTTTTTTTTCACGTCATACAAAGAATCTCTAAAAACTTCTTCAAAACTATAAATACCTGTAAAATATTTCATCTCAAACCTTCTCATTTGACGTTTTGAGTCAGGTTCCGAAATGGAATCGTAAAAGATGAAATCCAGGAGGTTTAGCTTCTCCAGTGTCGAACTGTTCTTGGATTCACACAGACACACACACACACACACACACAGTTGTGTACCCTTCACGTACACACACAGTCGTCTCCTCGCTGCTCATCCACAGCCGGGGTCAGCAGAAATTCTGTCAAAGCGACAGAGGAGAAATGGTTTTATTATTCCCTGGACACTGTGACCTAAACTGAACCAAAGAGCCGTAATAATGGAGCTTCACTAATAAGTTTGACTTAATTTAACCTTAATGTGAGGGATGCGCGTAAAGTACGTGAAGATCTTTAAACCTACAGAATTGTCTTCGCCCTCTTGCGTCATCATGTCCATCCCCGCCAGCTGGTCCAGGATCAGGCCGCCGTCCCTCCCCTGCATCACAACAGAGGACCACAGACATGAACTCACCTGTACACCCCCCCCCTAAATACTGACAGTAGCTACAAAGGAAACATCTCAAACGTGATTAAATGGTCTATTTTCCTTTTGCTGAAAAGGTTTAAAAACTTTTTGACCTAACATGTATCATCTTTTTTTCAAATTTTTGTATGTAATATTTGTAAACTTTTTCCATTCCATGATAATTTTCTCGACCTAACATCTTTTGAATTTTTAAAAAAACATTTTTTGAGATAATATATTATAAATATAATATATTTTTTCAAAACATTTTGACCTCAACCTCATTTTCAAAATAATTTGGGATTTAATTATTTTTCACAGCAACTTTTGACCCAACATACTTTTTTAAAGACATTTTTTGTCTTTTTTTCCGATGATGCTTTTCCCCTCCTCACCTGCTCCGTGCTCATCTGTCCTGACATGTGGCTCATGCTGTTGACCATGACTCCCAGGTTCACGCTGTTGTTGTTGTTGTTGTTGTTGCTGTTGCTGTACATCCCTCCGTTGGCCTGCGTGGAGTACTGCGACTGGGCCTGCTGGTACCCGCTGGGGGGAGGAAAACCGGGTCAAAGACGCTAAAGAGCAGAAGAAACATGGCGCAGAAGATGGCGTTGCGAGGTGACGTCACCTGTTGATGTTGGCGGGTTGGGGCCACCCGCTGCTCGCCTGGTAGGCTGGCGCCGCCCTCGGGTTGGGGCCCTGGCTCTGGGCTTGGCCCTGGCTCTGCTGCAGCATGGGGCCCTGACCTTGACCCATCCTCGGGGACAGCAGGGGGCTCTGAGGGCTCACGGCGCCGCACGGGAAACCCGCCGCCGGGTCCTGGTGCATCTGCTGCTGCTGGCTCATCCCTGCAGATCGAAGAGGACAACATCAGTTGCATGGAGGGGTCTGACCGGAGGGGGGGGGGGGTAAGCAGACGCTTGTTCTACCTCACAGCCTCACGTCTACCAGCTGCTTCACAAAGAAGCAATCCAACATTATTTTGACTTGAAGGGACGATGCACCGATTGATAAGCAACCCGACGAAAGGAAGCTCTCTGTCAAACCGTCCGTACAAAACCCTCGGGAGCCCTTTTCTGTCCTCACTTAAGAAAACCTGCCGGCGTCATGTACCTGAGCTGCTGAACTGGTAGGCGCCGTGCTGCAACGGGGGGCTCATCACCCCGTACTGGCCCCCCACACTTCCCATCAGGTGATGGCCGGGGGAGAGGGGGGAGGAGAAGGGGCTGGAGGAGCCGGGGTGAGGGGGCGGAGGAGGGGAGGGCAGGCCGGTACCGTAGCTGGAGCCCGGGTAGGGGAACTGCTGCGGGCTGCCCTGCGGGAGCCGCGGGTTGGTGCCGCCCATGGGCATCGGCGTGGGGGCGGAGCCCCCGGTGGGCGCGTTGATGCCCTGCGCGCGCATCATCATGGCGCGCTGCTGGTGTACGTGCTGCTGCTGCTGCTGCTGCTGCTGCTGCTGGCGTTGGCGGAGGTGGTTGCTGAGGTACTCGCGCTGCCGCTGGGCCAGCATCTGAACGTTGAGGGGTCCCTGCAGAGAGAAAAAGAGGGAGGAGCTACTTAAGCCAATCAAGTTCTTTCTTTATGTATATATTTTATGTATATAGACTGACCTGGTTTGGTATGTTAGCCCTTAGAGGTAGATTCATATTGGACACTCCACTCATCTGGTTCACCATCGGCTGGCGGTTCTACAGGGGGGAGGAGGGGGAGAGTGAGAGAGAGATCATCAAAGTCTCCACCAGGTGGCAGTCTGAACACAGTAAGAAGTTAGTCCCCTCTAGAGAATTATTACATATCTAAATATTCTGATCCCCCCCCCCTTACGATGAACTGTTGATTATTTGAGTCCTGAAACATGTGACAATAAAAGCTAAATCAACAAAAGCCTCAACATGAACAAAATGCAGACAGATATCGTTTTAGAACATAAGAACCTGTGTGCAAAATCACAAAGAGGAACATTATGGGAAATGGGGTCAGTCACAAAGGCTGTAGTCTGTGTATGCAATCATCTATATGAGTGAGGGAGTGAGTGTGCGTGTGTGTGTGCGCGTGCACGTGTCATGTGTGTCCATTGTTAAGTGTCTCAGCAGCGGCGAGTTGCTGATGAAGGCAGAAAGCTGCAGCACATTTGTTCCTCTCTGGCTGCAGCTGTTAGAACCCGACGACGTGGAAAACAGGAGACGGCTTCGTTTTGAATGCGAGTCCACTGAGTTCACAGGCGTAAACGTACCAGCTGAGCCTGAAGTCGGTGCTGCAGCTGCAGCCTCAGGTTGTTGGGCTGAGGCGGCACCCCTGGACCGGGCCCCCCCGGCCGGGTCCCGACCGGCCTGGGCCCGGCGCCTCCCGGCATCCTCATCATCGGGGGGTAGCCAGCGGGCGCCATCCTCTGCGGCCCCATGTGGCCGCTCATGGACGGGCCGTGGAAGCCGCCGTCGGGGGGCGCCGACCCGTAACCCGGGGGGGGCGCAATAGTGTTGACTGTACAGGAAATGCTTCATGGAGGCCGCCGGGTCCGAGGAGCCGAGGTAGTGGTCCTGGTCCTGCACGAGGGTCTGCAGGGTGGAGGGGGGGGGGCAGGTGTGTGTGATGGGGAGGAATCAATCGCACTGTGTGTGTTTTCATTGGTGAAGTGTAAAAACACACAAGACATAAATAAGGAAGCTATATTCTCCTGGCGAGGACGGGCGGGGCGTCAGGTCCCGCTCTCATTGGCTCTCGGGCTCACCTGTCCAGCCAGAGTCGGGATGCCCAGCATCTTGTCGATCTCCTCCAGACCCTCGTAGTCCTTCAACACCGAGCACAGCTGGCTCAGCAGGGCGCCCTCGTCCGGCGGGCCCTCGGGCCCCTGGCCGCAGCACCGCATCCCGTCCTCCTGGGGGGCGCCGTACCCCGGCCTGCGAGGAAGGCACCTCAAATGTTATGGTCACGCCCACCACCACCTGACCGCCGGTCTAAACTCTGCCGCACCTGCTGTGGTTCCCGTAGTGATCCCCGGCCATCATGCGGTTGGGCCAGGGCGCGGTCTGATTGGGCGGAGCTTGTTGCTGAGCGTAGGCGGGGTTTGACATCTCCATCTCCACTAGAAAGAAAACAAAATGTCACTTTTGATGTTTGAGTCGGTCCGCGGCTTTTGTTTTTCCGCCTGGCTCTGTCTTCTCACCGCTGCTCATCATCTGCATGCCGACCACGCCTCTGGACCCGGGCGGGCCTCTGCTGTGCATGTTGGGGGCCATCCGACTCGGCCCCACCCCTTGGCCCATCATTGGCCCCCCGCTGCCGCCCACGGGCCCCTGGGGACCCCAGCCCTGCTGCATGGAACCTCGCATACTCAGCATGCCTGATTGGGTAAGGACGGACTTTTTTTATGACATGGAATAATGAAACCTTACTTGTATTTGAACAAATGGGCATCGTTGAACACAATGCATGACTTAT